TCCGACAGCTGTTCGGGGCGGACATATATTAGAATTAATGCACGTTATATTATATTGTATCGCTACGGTATATTGGCTTGTTATATTAAAGTTCATTGCTTTGCTACGCGAGTGTATTCATTTCCGGCGTGTAAGAGTTTGAGTGCGCGCGACATTTCTGTGGGATAACCCGAAGGGTGGTCGCGCACGTAACAATATTTATATTTTATAAGAGAAGACTTCTCTTACAAAGTATAAATATATAAGAAGATTTATACTTTATAAGAGGAAATTAAAACATGTTTGTGTGAATAACTACGTCGTACAAAATAAACATCTAGATAGTAATGCACCGAGCTATTTAGTTCAAGAATATTGCAACTTCGAGTTTAAATATATGAATATACAACGTATTGTATGATAAGAAGATCGGTTACAAATCTTTTTATGATATAAAACGATTAGTTTTCATTTTTTCTTTTTCAGAACATAACAAACATGAAAACTTTCCAAGCACCTCCAGCGGGAAAATATTCCAGTCTTCAAAAGTATGTAATATTTTAATTAATCTTTATAAAACTAAAGTGGTGTTTGTAAATCAGTCAAACCATTAATGTATCAGTGAAAACTTTAGAATATGTTTTTCAGAAATTTCGGCTCACATATGGGACAGCAAATTTTTTTCTGCAAAAATGGCAACCGAGGGACAGCAATCTCTTCTGTGAAAATGGCAACCGAGGGACAGCAAATCTCTCCTGTAAAAATGGCAACCGAGGGACAGCAAATCTTTACTGCGAAAATGGCAACCATTAAACAGTTTCCGGTTGCAAAATCTTGTAGTGCACAAAACATAAGGTAAATATTTTCACAAGCTTTAGTTTTTTTAATAATATTTTATATTTTTTTTATTTTTTGGAAGAAAATTTTTTATATATTCGTGTATATTTGCAAATTGTTAATAAAATTTTTTATTTCAGAAACTTCAATACCTTTAATAAAAAGAAAATGATAAAAATAACACAAACGTAAACATAAATGCAGATTTATTAAGTACATACACAGAGAATCTGAGGTATAGTTGCTTTTACTTATAAAAATAAAATTTGTGATAAATTTATGTAAAAAGGAAACTTTGGAATATATATATATATATATATATATAAATTATTATTAAAATAATTTTTTGTTTAATAAAAAATTAAAAATAATTATTAGGAATGAGAAAATAGCAATTATATTTTTTATATAAAAAAAAACTGATAATCTCGGCTCAAATTATTGTGTTACAATAAAAATAAAATCTCGACGGCAATCGGAGCCTGTGCGGATGACATGCACAAAATTAATAAATTAAAATGAGATCTCAAATCAAACTCATTTATTAAATTCTAAACGTTTCGACCCACTTCGGGTCTTCTTCAGTAGCTGCAAAATACAAAGAAACAAAAATAAAAGATAATCGGTACAATCAGAAAATTATAAAACTCGTATACATACAATCCGCAAATAAATTAAATATCATTCTCCTCCCTATTCAAACCGTCCGGCCGTCGGAGTGTCTCCCTAACGGTGACCATCGTCAGGAAGGAAGCAGAGCAGTGACTCCCTTACCAACACTAATCAACATAGTATAAATTAAACATAGAAAAATCCACAAGAATTATAAATTAAAAACCGGGAAGAACACTCACCCCGACAGCAAAAACAGAGAGAAGACGATGTTACACGTGACACATCACTCTAACGACTGTGCGGTATTCTACCTCGACACAGTCGATACATATATACGCAAAAAACAAATATAAAAATAAAATATGAAAATAAAAATAAAAACAACTAAAACTTATCGGCACTCATGTCAAAGGTCTAACATAAAATCCGGTTATGTATAATCACAAAGCTAGATTTTGGTAAATTTTTCTATTAACAGATCAAAATTCTCGTTTAATTTATCGTGTCGCTATGTAAATTTAAACTATTCCTCTGACGTTTTATGTGGATCATTTCGGATATCAAACGTTTACCTAAACCGACGGCCGGACGGTTTGAATAGGGAGGAGAATGATATTTAATTTATTTGCGGATTGTATGTATACGAGTTTTATAATTTTCTGATTGTACCGATTATCTTTTATTTTTGTTTCTTTGTATTTTGCAGCTACTGAAGAAGACCCGAAGTGGGTCGAAACGTTTAGAATTTAATAAATGAGTTTGATTTGAGATCTCATTTTAATTTATTAATTTTGTGCATGTCATCCGCACAGGTTCCGATTGCCGTCGAGATTTTATTTTTATTATATTTTTTATTCAGATTGCTTCAAATTTGTAGTATAATATTTACTAGGAATTACATATTTTATATACATCTACATAAATATATAAATAGAAAAAATAGAATACATAAAAATTTAAATTAATATTTCAAATCTTTTGTCTATTTCAGTAAAGACTCAAAGTCAAGTGTACACTCATCCGATATATCAGAAACAAATTCCGTATCAGAATTAAGTACCTCTGCCGCTGTACAGAAGAGAGATTTATTGTCAAAAAGAAAAGTAAAAGGAAAACAACCGGATGTTTTGCATAATGCAATTTGTAAGGTAACATCTTTATTAAAACAAATATTCAACTTCTTCGCAATCTACTGTGCAATCTACTTCGCAATCTACGCTAAAGCCCGAAGTAGAAGATGTAGCTTTTTGCCAGTTAATACTCTCAACACTAATAAATATGCCACCAAACACAAAAACAGATAAAAAGAAAGAATTATTGCGCATTATATATGATATCTAATGTGATATTCAAGTGAGATATATTTTAAGACAAAAATATATATTATATAGTACATACAAATACTTTGTTATTTTGGAAAGAATATATAGTTTATTTTATTACAATTATATGTAGTAGTACATACATAAGATTTTTATTTTATTACACAATGTACACATTTTTATTTTATTACACAATGTACACATGTACTTACAATATGTTTCTGTGTTATTACAAAAAGATTCTTACAATGTTTCTTACAATATGTTTCTATATTATTACAAAAAAGTTCTTAGAATGTTTCTGTATTATTACAAAAAGTTCTTAAATTTGTTTCTTACAATGTTTCTGTATTAGTACAAAAAAATATGCAGTTTATTTTATAATAATTATACGAAGTACAACATATATTAAACGACTTTTTGTAAATTAATCAATTTACTCCTCTCCTTTTTCACCCACTAAGGTTAAGCTGAATCATATGTATTTCTTATTTAATAAATAGATCACGGTTCATAAGTTTAGAGGATTTACAAGCTTATTTTATATATAAAGTAAACTTTAGTAAGATGAGCAAGATTTTTAATATAAATTATAATACTTAAGTTATAACTTATATTATTATAATTTATATTAAACGTCTTATTAAATCTTCTTACTAAAGTTTATCCCGATGTTGTCCTCTTCTAACATAATCATACTGCCAACAAATCTCACCAGTGATGTCATAAAATAATCTGCAAGTTTATCGCGTTGCTTATAAGCATTTGCAGTAGCACGATGCATGGAAGTAGGAGCTATATCTGTAAGTACACTTTCATATTGCCGCCACTGTCCAGGGATTATATTCCCTTCGGCATCTTCTGAGTCTATGAAGCAAGGAGGACAATATACTCTGGCCTGTGATTATACACAATCTTCTTGTGCTTTTATAAAGTTGTGAAGACAAATAGTTGCCATGATTGTCGTGTCTACATACTTGAGATGCATATGAATAGGTTTCCTATAAATCCTCCATCGTGCCGATAAAATTCCGAAAGTATTTTCTATAGTACGTCTTGCTCTAGACTCTAGACAATCTAAAAATCAGTGAAATGCATGAATAAAATTATGATAATAAATAAATTTATAACCATATAAAATGTTGTAACAATACATACACTACAAACCTGTAATTAAATATTTTCTTTTTTTCATCTACAAATTTTCCAGAGTAAGGTCGCATCATTTTTGTGCTAATGGCAAAACCACTATCGCCAAGAAAAAAACAAGGTAACTTAAGGTTTGTTCTTTATTGCCGAACTTTCTGCACTAGTGTACACTAGTGACACCAAAGCGTTCTGTATTGCAGTGCAACGTAGAACAAACCCGTTCTTTATCGCAGTGTAACTAAGTTCAGTGCAATAATTCAGTGTACTCGCTGCCCTAGGTCTGAAGCAGGGTCAGGCAGTGCAGTGCAAGGACCGGGTAAGTAAAAATGGCCGAAAACATAAATATAAATAAAGTATAATCACAACAAATTATAAATATTAAATTAACTTATTAAATATTTAAAAAATGGGAATAATAATCTATTTAAGTAGTTAGGTAGCTAAACAGCTAGGTTTATTTATTGTTTGTAAATATAAAATAACCTATGTGATATAATAAAAGGCCAATTTAACGAGCTTATAAGATATTAATTCAAAAATTTTTATTATTAATTTACGTCATAATATACAAAAGATAAGATAAACGTTTCGACTGTACGACAGTCTTTTTAATATCATGCTAATATGTCAAAAAATTAATTTAGTCATATCGACCTTATTATAAATACAACATTTATGAGATTATCATATGATGAACGCAGTACAAAATTCATGTTTGTTGGCTTGAGTTAGAGCGTCAGATTTCTGTATGTCATGCTGTTATATTACGTGACGACACTGTGAACCAATTAATATATCCGCTCAAATATTACATTTTAGATTTTTAATAAATAGTATTAACTTACTTTTTTGTCACGAACATAACACTTTTTTAAAAAATTATTTCTTTTTGAATAACATAATCACAATGTGTACTATGTGTAATATGTTTTACTATCGCTACGTCGATGATATCTTGGTTTGCTTGCCGGAAGATCAAGTCACATATTTAGTAGAAAAATTTAATGATTGTCACGATAGATTAAAATTCACAATAGAAAGAGAGAATAACCGTAGCATAAGTTTTTTAGATATCTCACTCAAAATTATAAATAACATAATATATATAGATTGGTTTCAGAAAAAAACATTTTCGGGTAGAACACTCTCATATCATTCAAATCATCCTATATGCCACAAAAAAAGTGTAATATAAGTAGTATAGTGGGCACTATGGCCCGTCAAAACAAACCCCCACCACCGACCCGTCTGGCGCCGAGTCTTATCTTATCTTTCCCCCACCACCGGCGTCTGGTTTTTCCGAGTGTGGGTGTAGGGGGAGAGGGTGTTGGGAAAAAAAAATGGCGACTGGCCCCGAAAGGTGGGGATGAGAATTTTTTTATTTTTTTTTTATTTTTTCTGATTTCCTCTGGATTTGAACCTGGGGCCTTCGTGTTTCCGAGCAGGGTCCTAGTATGTTGAGCTAAACGAGATCTTACTAGTCTAAGGATTAGATGAGGTATTTAAGCTAAAGTTGCGTAGGGTACGGTATGGGGGTACGGGTATACGTATGGCAAGGATAGCTCGTCGAATCAAATGGTCGATATTGGACGGGGTGGGGTAAAAACAGTTAGGGTATACGTATGGCAAGGATAGCTCGTCGAATCAAATGGTCGATATTAGACGGGGTGGGGTAAAAACATTTTGACCAAGAAAAGCGTCATGCGGTCGACCGGGGATCGGTGGCAGGTAGTAACTGACAATGCCGTAGGGTAATAAAAAAAGAACACGCAAATATTTGTACTGGCGAGCATTCCGACTCGTGTCACGATAAAAAAAATAATGCATCATCGTAGATTAGAAAGAATGCTTATTGTTGAAAAGATGTCGGATAAAATTTTATTTTAAAATAACAATTTCTGGAAAGAGGAAGTGAAAGAAAATTGAACAATGGTTTTAAAAGTACAAATATGATTTATATTTAAAATATTTTTACAGAACAAAATTTATTTATTAATACTAAAATTCATATTATATATTGTTATGATTCGCTTGTTTTTTGTGAGTAAAAATTTTACGAAATAAGTGTATGATTAAACGATCGTTATATTCACAATCTTCGGAAAAAAGAGCGAGAAACTGATTAAGATTATAGCCGCTACACATATAATATAAAAATACACAGCAGTATTGTCCGCAAGTCTTAGAAAAAATTCCTTGTAATTGTTGAATATTCCAACGATGGATGATGGAGTTTCGTCGAAGTCGGATGAGAAATCCTGGATACAAGGGGGGTAATCCGTAGCTGTCGAAGTAAGTGGCTGTGCCGTGTTCATCGAGGTAGAAGGCGATCCAATGTTCTCCAGGTCGATCGTGATTGTCGGTGTTAGCGACGATAGCCGTCGACCTCGTCCACACCCTCGGAACTCTGTCGGCTGCATAGACTCCAACATGTCTGGCATCTAGATGACGCAATGCTTGTAGAATTTCGCGAGAGTTCATTTTTTTGTCCCGAATACGAACGAGTGTACGGTATTATTTGAACAATACCAGTTTTTACCTCTTTCGACAATGCGTTTTCTTCTATCTTGAGTTGTTTTGAGAGGTTTTCAATGTCAGTTTGCGTCGAGATGGAAATTGTTTCGTTCTTGTTTCTATCCGTCAACGTCGATGACGGTTCAGAAATCACAAATCTCTCTTCTTCTTTTTCAATCTGCTGTTCGTTGTTTTGCTGATTTTTCTCCTCTATTTGTATTTTAGTTATATTCTCATTTACATCGCGAGAAACGGCGGCGTCGTATTTATCGTCGCTATCGTCGAAGGTAATTTCCCAACTTTCGTCAGAACTACAAGTAGCTTCGGTAGAGGTCGAAACGTTCTCGCAATTATTTTGCGCACTTAGCCAGCATTTTAATTTATAAGCATTGTATAACGCGCAATGAAAGGTTCCAAATTTTCGAATCCCGTGATGACCGCAATATTGTACGATATTCTCCTCATCCGGTAGATTTTTAAATGCTGGTGAGGTACCCTCCAAATTATTTATATCTCTGGAAAGTAAATTCCTCAAGTAGTTTGCTTTTTCGTTACCTCTGACGTAAACGCAGCGCGCGTGTCTTGCGATTTCGCGGAGATGCGAGGTAAAATATTTAGGATTAACTGAGCCGTCGAACCACTCGATACCGTGATAATTTCGTGAGAGCCAATTGTTTTCTCGTCTTGCTTTTGCGGGTAATTTTCCAAACGCGTATGGTGGCATCATAATCCAATGCTCGACAATCGGAGCATCGATTGCGACAACGGCGACTTCCTTCGCGATAAATTTATTGGCTTCATCGCGGAAACCTTGTATGTCGACGACTATGTCCATATTGTGAGATTTTCGTTGGTGAGGTACAAGCTCTTAGCGAAACGTGCGCGTTTGTTCGTGTCTCGTACAAAACTGAATTCATTCTAGCGCGTTACATAGTTTCCACTTCGTGAATAGCGTCATCGAAATTTCCAAAGGAAGAGGAGGGGGAAAATTTTCTAATCGCGTATTACATTACTGTGTATGAATACATGTTGGTGAACGAGCGTTAAAAGCTAACCGGAAAAATCGACGATAACTTGACGCGATGCGTCGATTTCTACGACATTATCGAATTCGGCGTAAACGATACAATTAATTGTTTCGGTGAGTGCCTTCTCGAATCTCACTTCTAACCGAAGACTTCCGTGTCTCACGAGATTCCAATGACCGGCGCAATTAGCGGATAGATCGGGTGTAAGATCAAAAGCGAATAACGTATATCCCCGAGAATAATCATCTCTACTTATAGAATTTCCCTCGTTCAAAAAATGGATACCCGTCCCTGAGAAGAGCGTATGATAAGCTTCGATGTAAAGCGGTTCGCGAGACGAGAAAACCGGTTGTAACGGTCTACTGG